AATTCTAGAACTCGTAGAGCAAAACGAAGACCACCATTAGACTCCCCGTGACAAGCTGCATCGAATCGATACCCATTTTATGCAAAAATATCAACTTTGAAATTTGACCTAATTTGACCTGACCTTGACCTGACCTTCACAAAAACGTGACCTAGGCTGGCCCCAAAGGCTGCCTAACCCACATAATCGCATTTGTCATGTAAAATGGACCATAAAACATGTATCACACGACACATTCATATTGTGACCCCCGGTGACCTGACCTCGCTGTGACCTGACCTGGTATCAGTGACCTCAGATAGCAAAGTATGTGTTTGACGAACAATGTACCATCGATGGTTTTCAATAAATTACCAATTTACTCGCTTTCACAGCACATTTCTTGAATTGCCTGTGAACGGTGAAAATCTGACCTTTGACCTGACCTGTGACGTCATCGGTTTGACCTAGGTCAATGAAATTTGGTCACAAGGTAGTTCCCGGGTGGGGCTATCGAACGCCGTTTGAATTTTGAAAATCGGCCGGTAACTTTCCGAGATCTTAGGGGGGGGGCCGATACGGCCCCCCCCCCTACGGGTGGTAGGGTCCGCCGGTAGCCCTACGGGGCGCGGGTTAAGTTGAGGTACTAGCGATAGTTGCATTGCCACAAGCAGCAAATTTCCGAACAAACGTATCGAGCATTAACCCTCGCCCTGGCAGGGGGGGGGGTCGATGCGACCCCCCCCCCTAAGGTTTTTCAAAGATAGCGTAAAAACGGCGGCGCGCAGCGCCGCCAAATTTGGCACAGCCTATGGGGCAACCTTTTTACATATGACCTGAAAATTTCAGGTCCGGGTGACCTTGGGTCAGGTCACCAGGTCAGAAAAACCGGTACAAGGTCATGGTCAAATTTCAATTTTCTTTTTGCACCTGTCCAACTCACAGTTTTGGACTGATTTCCTTCAAACTTTCAGGATGTGCTAAGTTCACCGAGTTGTATAACATATAGTTCGGGTTTTTTGAGGTCACTGACCTGAGGTCAGTTAGAGGTCATTACGTCGTAATGTTAAGCCTATGGGAAAATACTAACTTCCGAAAATACTGGAGATATCTACTTCTTTCTATCACTTTTGTGCTTTGAATCCATAGTAAATAACAGCAGGTCACTTGGTGCTTCGTTGTTTGGTGTACTTATCCATGGGTCAGGTCAAATGAGGTCAACTGAGGTCAAATGACGTTTTTGCCAATAACTTGGCACATAATGACGCTAGAGCTTAAAAAATGGTATCATTGTGTTCCTGGTGATCAGCCGAATCGAATGATATGCGATATGATGCAGTTTGGTTAACTTGAACTTAATTTATAATTTTAAGTTTACTTAAAGTTTAAGAAAAACTTTAAGTACACTTAAGCAAGCTAAAAAGTATACCATTCGACGCGCCTTGACGTGCTGAGTTCACTGGTGCTTTTCTTTTTGCTCTATCTTAATTAGATTAAAAGTTATAAGCGAAAAACTTTTGACCCGTTTTTAGCGAAATTTTTACATTTATACCCCCCAAAACCCCCCTAAATATTGACCTAGAGCAACCAAATTTGCACAGTGGCGAGAACTCCAGGGGGCCCACCTACCTACCAAATTTGGTGTTTCTAGGTGCCATAGGAGCCAATCGCGAGGGGGGGGGGTCGCATCGACCCCCCCCCTGCCAGGCCGTGTTATGAAAAATGCCCTGCCAGGGCGAGGGTTAACCCTATTCCTGGCGGGGGGGGGCCTCAGGAGCCCCCCCTGAGGTTTTTTGGTTATTTCTCCCAAACGCGTTGAGCTAGGAAGCTCAAATTTTCTGACTTTTCCTAAAAGGCTTCTACGCAACATGTCTGAAAATTTTGAGTTGATCTGACCTCAGGTCAGGTCACCAGAGGCGGTTTGGTGACCCTACCTCAGAAAAGTTTGCAATCACGCCAGAGCTAGAGTTTTTGACCGATCAATTTCTTCTCTTCAGGGTTTAGTTAGGGTACCAGTATGTGCAATTTGTATATCTCGGAATTTTGATATCGGTGACCTAAGGTCAGGTCAATTTCGCGACCTCCCCATTATAAGTCAATGGGGGAAAAATCAACTCCCTGTTTTTACCACTAAAACGGGTCGGAATGGCCCCATATACCATACATGACTTCATATACGACCAACCTTCACCACCTTGAGGTCTGTTTTGCTGTTGGGCAGCTGTGAGGTCATGTGATGTCATCAAAGGTCACCAAAGGTTTTTGGCCAATAACTCCGTACAGGAACAAGATACAGACGCGTGGATGGTCTCATTGTGTTCAGCTCGTCAAGACGCATCGAATGATATACATGATGACCTCGAGGTCACGTGACCTGAGGTCAACCTTTGACCTTGACCTTTCGAGGTCAACATATATATCATTCGATGCGGCTTGACAAGAGGATCACGATGATGCCCTTAGTTTGTTCCTATCTTGGCTAATTCGAAAGTTATTCGAGAAAAACTCTCTCCATATCTAGCGCCGCCATTTTGACTTTTTCGACCCCTGTGACGTCATCTTTGACCTGACCTGAAAATGACCTTTGTAAAAATTGTAGATCTTGGCCGTGCGTATCCGATGCCGTTTACCGCTTGTCGCTATCTTGCTTCGTTCTCGAGATCTCAGGGGGGGGGCCGAATCGGCCCCCCCCCCGCCAGTTTCTTGTCCCGGCGGAGCCCGCCAGGAATAGGGTTAATCGACTACTGACACTGACTGACTACATAGAGAGAGCTCGCTGACGACGAGTCTGAGCAGACTGACGGGACTGACTGGCCGCGGCCCTGGCGCGGCGGTTATACAGAGTATAGGTGGCGCCACGATCGAAGGCGGCCAGCACAGGAATGCAGGCATTGTGACAATTAGTGAGCAGTTATTTCAATGAGGGATGATATAGACATAGTGCAACCAATAAGAGTGATATAAGTAGTTTCATAGACTACTGTATTACGCATATACTTATCGCATATACATATTATATTATGTTCATATTCTGTATTTACATTCTACATATGACTGCTGGTGCTAAAAATTGTTGTGCGGCCGCTCGGCTGTGTCAGTGCTGGCTGTGTCAGTGTCTGACACTCTGGTGTCAGTGGTGCAGCGGGGAGCTGGCGGCAGCTCTGTCCGACTGCAGTCAGCTGACACAGCTCTGTCCGACAGGGCCGGAGGTGACGGAGCCGAGGTGGCCGGAACGGTACGGGATTGGTCTGTCAGTGTCGCTCCAGGGGGTGGCTGCCGACACCATCAGTCACCTGGCTGACCTGGGACGGACGGTCACACTACTGGAGATATACGGTGAGCAGCGGCAGCACGGACAGGCCGCTGATATACGAGCTCAGCGAATGGCGGACATCGAGTAACGGTGTGCCGGTGTCGGACCTCATGGAGACAGGTGTGATTCATAGCCAATGTGCTTTGTGAAATAATGAAGCCAACTGAGCTCCTCCGAGGAGGACTGTACGATCAGTGACATATTCGCTCATAGTTAGTTGAACATACCTACATATTGCGATTGAAATGCAATGTTTGGTGCACTTCAATGCATTGGCTGAACTGATTGCATATCCATAGATAACATGAACATTCATGTTATCATGTTCATTCATTCATGTTATCACATTCATTCATGTTTATTTGGCATATCATATAGAACCACTGTTATATCATCTTCTGTGTCCATAAAACCATGCGAATTCATAGCTGTTTCGTTTTTTCCATATATTGCCATGTATTACAGCTAACTGATCGTGTCTGTATGTGTGTCTGCGTGTTTTCCAGACTGTCCTGATCTCACGGCCGGCAGCCTGGAGCCCCTCGCCAGGTGCCCTGAGCTGCACTGGCTCACCCTGTCCGGCGGCGTCCCTGACACCGTGAGCCTGGAGCCCCTCACCAGGTGCCCTGAGCTGTGGTTTCTCACCCTGTCCGGCGGCGTCCCTGACACCGGCAGCCTGGAGCCCCTCACCAGGTGCCCTAGGCTGGGGGAACTCACCCTGTCCGGCGGCGTCCCTGACACCGTGAGCCTGGAGCCCCTCACCAGGTGCCCTGGGCTGGAGCGTCTCACCCTGTCCGGCGGCATCCCTGACACCGGCAGCCTGGAGCCCCTCACCAGGTGCCCTAAGCTGTCCAGTCTCATCCTGTCCGGCGGCGTCCCTGACGCCGTGAGCCTGGAGCCCCTCACCAGGTGCCCTGTGCTGCGGGATCTCACCCTGTCCGGCGGCGTCCCTGACGCCGTGCTGGACAGTCTCAGCGGCTGCCCCGGGCTGGTGGGCCTTACACTGGGGGACCGCCAGCGGCCGGCAGAGACGGCCTTCACTGCAGCAGCGTACACCAGGTCAGTCAGCAGACACTGGCGAGGGGTGTCCTGTCAGACACTGACACTGACACACTGACACTGACACACTGACACTGACACTGACACACTGACACTGACACACTGACACTGACACACTGACACTGACACACTGACACTGACACACTGACACTGACTCACTGACACACACACTGACACTGACACACTGACACTGACACTGACACGGATACACTCACACTGAAATACTGACACTGACACACTGACATACTGACACACTGACTGACACACTGACACTGACACTGACACTGAAACACTGACACTGAAACACTGACACTGAAACACTGACACTGAAACACTGACACTGACACTGACACACTGACACTGACACACTGACACTGACACACTGACACTGACACACTGGCACTGACACACTGGCACTGACACACTGGCACTGACACACTGACACACTGACACTAACACACTGACACTGACACACTGACACTGACACACTGACACTGACACACTGACACCGACACACTGACACTGACGAATTGTCACTGACACCAACACACCGACACTGAAATACTGACACTGACACTGACTCGTCCGGCCGGCCGGCTGGTGCCGCTGTGTTTGTGTGTGACGGCTCTGCTGCTCTGCTCTGTTACAGACTGGTGAAGCTGTGTCGGGAGCTGGGTGCTCTGTACCTTCACTGCACGGCAAACACCGGCCGGGCCGTGCTGACCGCCCTGAAGGAGGCGGACTTGGGCCGGGACAGTGATGTCTGGCCCCGTTTCATCTTTCTCTGGGTCCCCGGTAGGTGAGAGGGCGCCGCGCGCCGCGCCTCTGACCAGTCAGTCCCTCACAACAGACGCTGCACGGCGCCACCGGCCTCTCAGACACAAACACTCGACCACCGCCACAGGCCACGTCACGGACGGTGACGTGACGCGTCACGGCCACCACGGCCGACGGTGACGTCACGTCAGCCGTCTGTCCTGTGTGTGACGTCACTGGCCGGCGGTGTGGAGGACATGGCTGTACCGCTGTCTGTGTGTCTGTCTGTGTGTGACGTGTCCACCTCAGACGTGTCCTGCTCTGTCCACAGTGGAGCTGTACCGTCAGCTGAAGAGCCAGGAAGGCGGTGGGGTCAAAGTGTGTCCGTGGTACTGATTGATGCGCTGCACTACCGACCGTGCAGTGATGAGCTGACTGCAGAGAGGCCGAGCCAGTCGGCCGGGGCCGCCAGCTGACTGCTGCCGTGTGTGCTGCACCAGCCGGCACTGAGAGCGGCGCCGGTCAGCCGGCACACGGCCCCGGTGTCCGCTCTAGTGTAGTCATGTAGTTGTAGTAGTAGTAGTGTAGATGTAGTAGTAGCCCACGGATGTGATGTAGTGGGTAATTACCGGGCGGGTATTGTGGGTAATTGACTGGACGGATATGATCTAGTGGGTAATTACCGGGCGGGTATTGTGGGTAGTTGGACGGTGAAAAGTGATGTGACTGAGTGTAGAAATTGATCGTGACATTGCGATATTTTGAATAAAAAAAACACATCTTAGCTTAGCTGTATGAATGCGGGCCCTCCCGGACCGTCCGACTCGGTTCACCGCGCCTGGTCCCGGCGGCACGGCCTCAGTCACGTGACCGCCGTGTCGGGTCGGCCGGCTCGGTCACGTGACCGCCGTGCCGGGTCGGCCGGCTCGGTCACGTGACCGTCCCCCGGTGGAGTCGGGCGGCTCGGTCACGTGACCGCCGTGCCGGGTCGGGCGGCTCGGTCACGTGACCGCCGTGCCGGGTCGGCTCGGCGGTCAGTCGGACGGGGACGCTGTCTCACCCGGCACCGAGGTGCACACTAGTGATGTCAATTACAGAAAATCAGAATACCGATACCTAACTAAATACCAACGAAATTCCCGGGAAAATACCGAAACCAAACCAACTTGGGAAAATGAGGGAAATACAAACTTTACCGATTTATTAGCCTCTTATACATTAGTGAGGGTTTATGATACTAACAAAATACCAAACACATTACGATTGAAATACCAAGTACCAAGTTGGTATCGGTTTGGTATCGGTATACCAAAACGTTGGTATCCGATTGACATCTCTAGTGCACAGCGCGCCATGTTGCGTGCTCTGGATGCGTGTTGTGACACTCACACGGACAGGTATATATCAATACACTACTGGATAGGCCGTCCGAGCTGTATAGGCGGTGTCAGTTGAGACGGCGGCTCACAGCCGCGCCCGCCCGGCCGCTCCGGCAAGCGGGTGTCTGTTCTACTATCTGTCTTCTATACATACACGAGAGGAGTTGCTTGAGCTGTATCATATATGTAGCCGTCAATAAACCAATGAGCAGTGTGCCGAGTGTTTGTCCGGCTGCACCGTCCGCCCCGCCCCGCTGTGAACCGTCATTTTCCGCCCCGCCCCGCTGTGAACCGTCATTTTCCGCCCCGCCCCGCGCGGTCACAGACAGTCCGCCCCGGCGGAGCGGAGCGGCAGTCTCCGCACACCGTCTCCGTACCCGTCATATACGGACCGTACAGCAGCCGTACACACAGCAGACACTGCAATAACACACACGGACATACACGGAGACACCTTGACACGGAGACACGGAGACACGGACATACACGGAGACACCTCGACACGGACACACAGAAACACATCGACACGAACATACACGGAGACACCTCGACACGGACACACACGGTCCCCGGCTTCTGCCCGGCCATATCCACTCGAGCTACAGCGAAACAGGTGATGAGTGAAAGTCAGAACTACTCGACTGATGTGGTATTATAATCAGCACCAAGTTCCCCCCGTCCCGGCCATACAGCGGTGCGGCGCGGCTGCCGAGCTGTCTGCCGACTGGTGCGGTGCCGCCGGCCGTGGCCGCTCGTCTGTCGGCGGCCCGGACTGCAGCCGGTGGCCGAGCTGCCGGTCCCGGCGACTCGCTGCCGGCTGGGCTGACCGCCGTCAGTCACCTGAGCGGTGCTGGCCGGCCCGAGCCGGGGCTGCGGCGCTACAGTGCAAGGCTTTTTCAAAGTCACCAACAAAATGCATAAACTTGTAGCATCACAACAAAATTAATGTACGTACTCACAACACTAGGCCACGTGGCCGTGCACGGGGTCCTGTTAACCAGGTCAAATTAGCACCACTCAACGGCACACAATGCTCTAGCACATCGGTACTTACAATAAAATGTCCACAGAGGCTCTATAGGCGATGCACAACACACAAGCACAATCACCAACGGCCACGCCGCGCGGCACCGACACTGCTCACATCCGCTCTCGGAGACCAACGGCCGAAAACTGACAGATGGCGATGCGCGCGGCCTTCAAACCGCAAACGGCCGATCTCGTTTCTGATTGGCTGATTGTTTCCATTTCAAATATCATCTTCACGAGGGTAAACAAGATCCACGCATGAAACGACTATCTGTACCCGAGTCATGATACCCAGGAGGAAAGAGTTTTCGTGATGTTCTGGATCGCGAGAGTAATATTGATATTTACATGGTAATGATACTCTTCGCTGGCGAATAAGCTCATATTAACCACGTACCGTTACTATGCACATAATGGTAGCAGCGAGTTACCCTTTCAATATACTATTATCTTGCGGGTTTGATGAAAATGAACTCTCCAGGAGGTAGTAAAAAAGTTTTGAGTGCGGGCCGGCGGCGGCGTGCCATCGGCCTCCCCGTACGGACCACTCACTCACATACAACAGGCTTAGCGAGCGGGAGATGGACTCACGGGTACGTCTGATCGTAGTTGACATGACCACTGCATTGCCTGTGGCATAACGATACACAGCGCACTTGTGGTATGATACTGCAATTTGAAGCACGTCTATGCTTATATAATACTCGATTTGTTGTAATATAGACGGGTCCCAAGAACAATCAAAATGCAGCCTCTGAAGATACGCTTTTCCTATAAGAGTCATATTAATAGATGGCATATCTGCAGGGTTGTGCTCGACTCAAAAAAATTTGCCGACTCGACTCATCATTCAACTTCAGAAAGCCCTGACTCAACTCTGACTCAAACAAGGAGCTGATTTTTTCCCTTGACTCGACTCATGACTCAAGCGGCTCAATGAAAATATGAGTCGACTCAAACTTGACTCAATTTTTTTTTTGTTGAGTCAAGTGAGTTGACTCAAAATTGACTCAGATAAAAAAGTTGTTGAGCGGTGGGGGTGGGGGGGGGGGTGAAAAATCCGGCAGCAGGGCCAGGGCTAAGTTGTTAAGCGGGGGGGAATGAAAATTATATATACATATACACACACACACACACATATATATATATATATATATATATATATATATATATATATATATATATATATATATATATATATATATATATGTGTGTATATATATATACATATATGTGTATATATACATATATATATATATATATATATATATATATATATATATATATATATATATATATATATATATATATATATATATATATATATATATAGTTTCTAGAATGTTGAGTCAGCTGACTCATGTTCATAAATGTTTGACACTCAACTCAATGTCAATAGTTATTTTACTGACTCAACTCTGACTCAACTCAACGCCTTAATATTTTTGTCCGACTCAACTCTGACTCAACTCAACAGTTCAACATTTTATCCGACTCGACTCAAATCTGACTCATTTGAGTCAGAGTTGAGTCAAATTTCTGACTCGACTCATGAGTCAAGCACAACCCTGCATATCTGTGCATATCAGGGGTGGAGAATTAGGGGTTTTGGGGGAGCTCAAGCACGCCCCTGAAATTAAAAGGTTACCACGTAATAATGCTCCAATGGTTGCTTGCATTTCATCTGAGACACAAGCTGCTTTGCGTAAGTCGCGATAATAGTGATGTTGTTGGAAAGCGTGCTTATATGTGCTTTACTGCGCAAGTTAATTTGACTCTGCTTCTCACCAGGTGCTGGAAAAGTACCCCCTGGTATTATGACAATTCTCCGCCTAGATGGTGCTTATATTTTTATTGGTGCTATGTCAATACTGAACAGCCGTATGTATTTCATTAACGCCAATTTATTAGTTATGTATTCTTCTTAGCGCCCTCGCAAAGAGCATAGCTATGAGAATATAAATAGAAACGAATAAATCCATGAACTCTTCTCCCCGACTACCTATCATCAGCGAAAATGAATGATGCGAAAATTACTTTTTATTGTTGTAGTAAAAAGTAATTCTTACAAATAAAGTAGTGTGATTTTCTAACAAAAACACTGATTGGTGTCTCAAAACTATACGGACAGATAGGACCAGAAGCCGCCACTGGTCCTGCGGCTTCGCTCGGCCGGCGCCACGTCCACTGACCAGGAGGTGGAGCGTCCCGGCCAAGGAGGCAGAAGACGGCGCAGCCCAGGCAGCTGGCCAATCAGCAGAAGACTTCGCGGCACGCGCACCACGCACAGACCAATCAGCAGAAGACTCCGCGGCAAGCGCACCACGCACAGACCAATCAGCAGACGCCACTGCGGCTCGCGCGTTACGCACGGACCAATCAGTAGACGCCTCTGTGGCTCGCGCGTTACGCACAGACCAATCAGCAGCGCCTCCCGCGACTGGCTCCGGCCGGCCGCTGGAAAATGGCCGTAGAAAAGAGGCACACCCGCCGACACCTTAGGGCTGGTCAGTGGCGTTCGGTGGCGTCGTTCGCCATCATCAGGGAAATCCGCTCGATCTGTGACTCGGAAGTCGAAAAAACCAAACAACTCGGATCTGGCAAAATTCTCATCTCGACCTTCAACAAAGTCCAAAGTTCTGTATGTATGTATGTATGTATTGACACCAAAAGCCTTCCACATATGGCGTGGCGATTACGGCTTAGATCCGAGTATAATGGGTAACAATCATGCGAGCAGGGGGAAGAACACTCAGCACTAGACGACAGTCATCCATCGATGGGGGTCGCGACAATAATCATATACATATGTACACAAGACAGACAATATATATATATACATAAGCACAAACAGATCGTCCACCAATTGGCGGCATGCCCTGCCTACTACTAAACAGACTCGTCAGCGGCGTAGCGGGGATTCGTTAATCAGCGCGGCCCTGGCAGACCGGGCGAAGCTGGCAGGTGGCAGGTGCACTACCTGGGGTGGGAGGCTATTCAATAGCGCCGCGGCACGGTACTCAAAACACCGTTTTCCAGTTTCAAGCCTCGGTCGGGGAAGATGAAGGAGATGATCCTGCCGTGTGTGCCTGTCTCGAAAATTTTGGTTGGGGACGAACAGTGCAGCG